CTCGGAGTGGATGGTGGTGAAAGGTGGAGGAGTGACGGGGCTCGAGGAGGCAGAGGACAAGACATCAGAGGCAAAGGTGTGAGAGGTGAGTGCAGTTAAAAAGGTGAGTCTGGAGATGAGAAGCAGCTAAAGGAATAATCCAGTCTGATTCATATGTCACTCAGTGTGGACGATCGTGGATGATACAGGCTTCATTTGTGAAGACGAACAAATCTGTGCAGCTGAAACAACAACAACAATAAGACGACACTAGAACTATTTCTTATGACTTTAAGGGGTTACCTAACAACAGAAAATGTGGCCCTCCAGTGCGTAGACTTCTCACCTTGCTGCAGTGACGTACAGGTGCACCCCAAGACCCTGTGACATCACTGCTGGGCGTGGCTACAACCACAAGCATCAACCATCAGTGATGCTGGCAACTTACAACCAGAGAGGGAAGCTCTTTAAAGTTATAATCCTTGAGATTTTCATGAACTCAAACCCATATTTTGATGATATTTATGGCCATTCATTGTTCATACATTCAGTGATTATCCCTCTATCATAGCAATTTTTATCGGTGGTGGCAGGGTCCGCCACTCCCGCGCTGTGTTCAGACTACGCTCGAGGGATTCACAGGAGAACTATGCATGTAATCAGCATTGTTTGAATTAGGAGCCTGTACTGCACGCTAAGATGTGGTACACTGCGCTATTACACACCCAGAGATACAAAGAAAAGTACATTGAAAAAAAATACTTTTTGGCCCTGTAATTATTACCTCGATTATTTTTGTAAATTTTACAAGAAATTATCATTCCAGTGCTTTTACTTTAAAATATCACCTTTTATTTAATGTGTTACTTGGTGTTTGTTTGTAATTATGTATCCTCATTTGTATCATTTTAATCATTCACACTAAGTAATATCTACTAAACTACTGTATTGAATGCACTACCTGACACAACAAAGTAAAATGTACTTGGGTAATACGAGTAAAACCTGGCAACCTATAGCGCGTACTCAGGGGGTGACGTCAGAGGAGATTTCGCGCTCCTTTCTTCAACGAGACGACGGAACAGCAGAACCTGAACAAGGACGGCAGCGTTTCACCTGAGGAGAGGAACTTCATGGACGGGAGCCATTGGGGTAGGTTATATGTTTAATTAATGCTCTACGTTGCTGTTGAGCCTTCGGTCAAGTCTGCGTTTGAGTTGTGAACACTGAAGAGTAGCGAACTGGTCAGTTTAGCGTGCTAGCTAGTTAGGCTATCATGCTAGCTAACTTGGGACAGCATTACAGACATGGCTCACGGCGCTACATTTTGTGGACATGTTTTTGGTCACGATTTTACAGGGTTCTCCCTTGAAAAGTTGTTGGCCTGGGGACACGGTGCTCGACCAGCTGCGCTCCGTCGACGAGGAGGAGGGGGAATTACTTCGGTTTTGTGAAGCCCACTTCTGCCACACAGGTGCTTTGCTGTGCTGCGACACACGCACAGCGTGCTTTCTCTCGGACATCCTCAAGTGCAGCCGCATTCGAATGAGGAAAATGTGACAAGACAGGGAATCATAGCTAAGCAGCAACAAGCACACTGGTCATGTGCTAAAAAATATCCCATACGTGGTGGAATTAGTGACTTTAGAGCGAGTCTAATACACTTAACATTATTTTGTCACTATCATATTCTGACATATTTTTACAGTAACTTATATTTCTGTCATTAGTTTTAAACTGGTCTCTTATGTCTCTATCCAATGTGGTGTCCTTGATGATGAAGGCTTTGGGCATGAAACAAGGTGCCAGTACTGTGTTGAGTTAGTGTCGCATATCAACATGACCAGGCCTGCTGTGTATCTCAGTATTAACATTATGTTGGCTTGTTTATGTGCTGTTTTTCTGTGTGGGGATAAAACATGCTATCAATATGAAGATTTAAGCCAAATTCAGATTTAATGTTGTGTGTTCATGTTTTAACATAATTTCTCGATATATTTCACAGAATATTAAAGGATGTTCACTCAGCAAGTTGACATCAACAGTTGACACAAGGTAAAATCAACTTAGTACTGTTATAGTTTAATTAACTTGACATACATTTGAAGTCATAGTTTGTGTTGCTGTCAATAGTACATTATACTGGGAGGACTACTGCATTAATTGTTTTAGCAAGGTACCTCATCTCGATCATGTTTTTTATTGTCTTTTGTTTCAGATCAATGAGGAGTTCAGAAGAATAACCACAGTTCATCTGGAGCGAAACTTTTTGTCGAAATTGGACAATTGCACTACCAACTTTCTGGAGATACTTGGGACAAAGGGCGGAGTTGCAGGAACCAAGACCCATGCTGGAATCACCCAGCCTGGTAAAGTTTAGATATCTAATATTACATAAAATTATGTTGGGCTCATATACACTGAGAATAGATACATAATGATGCATTTGAACACATTCAATATTTTTGTTTGTTTCCCCCACTATCGTCATTTTTTGAGAACACATCAGACTCGAAGATGTAAACGTGAACATTAGTAAATTTGAATTTCAAAGAAGTCATTGAAGAGGACTATGCTCAACATGTCATGAAGATCCTTGTCATCCATGGAAATGCAACACAGAAAGGCTTCACTCCTGACAATCGTGTTCGTCGTCAGAGGGAAAAGAGGTTCTTGATGACTGTCAAAGTGTGGCAAAGGCTTGCCTTCTGTTCATGGGCTTCATCTATGCGTATCCAAGTGTTGTTAAGCAACACCCATCGTTTCAAATTAAGTGTTGTTAAATGACTAAATGTTTGTGTTCTTAAATTTCTTATTGGCAGCACTGATTTAGGAATGTTTTGTCTGGCAATGCCAACCAGATTATATATGTTGGTATTTGTGTGTCTGTCAGCAGTGACCTCTTTCACCAGTTAACAAGTGAAGCTGCTGCAGTTTAAAAGATGTTTTGTAGAAGCCTTATGTTAAGACAATTTTATTAAATTAACAGTAGCCCAGTTTAAAAATGCAACATTCATATTTGAACAGTTGTGTAGAGTAGTAGTAGATAAGATATATTGTGTAAATATTACTTGATATTTCTCAATTGAAAAAGTAAAGAAACGCTAGTTAAATATACATGAAACACCTAATTGAGTTTTACTGGGGTTTTGTAATTGGATGCAAAGTTAGCCTTTGATAGTAAAATTTACTCGGGCTAAGTACATTTTGTCTAAGGAAGGCATTTGCAAGTAATTTGAAAGTTACTTGAAAATTTTGGATAAAAAACAATTCTTACTAGTAAGTAAACTTAACTTGAGAATTCCTGAGTAAAAATTACTCGGAATTTCTGAGTGCAAATTGTTACCTAGCTTTTTTTCAAGTAAATGTCACTTATTTTATTTTTCAGTGTACAAATACTGTAAGAAAGAACTGACGTAGCCGTTTACTTTGCAGTTGCCTTGATCACAATTGCAGAAGTATGAAACAGAAAATGTGCAGCTGCTGCATCAAGATAAATACATTGTTTTGGTCAATGTGTCTTTTTATTTGTCTCATCCACAATGAAAGAGGAAGAACAAAGACCCAAGAAGCATACTTGCTAAATTAAGATGTTTTAGAGGCTGACTGTCTCGCTAGAAACGAAGCAAAAAGCACTGACACGATACAGCGAGAATCATAGTCAGACAATGCAATTAATAACATGTTCCTCCGATGTCCTTACTCCCTGAGATAAATACGAAAGAATGCTCTTCTAAAGTACTGACACGGAACTATTCAATCAGATATCTACCCAAAGTACAATCTTTTTGTATCAACAAAATCATCAGCATCTTTCTCCTCTCCTTTATAGTTCTGCAAATGAGATGTTTTAGTTCACAAAGAGTGATCGTAAGAGTCAAAGAAAAATCTTCGTGCATTCTGTTTTATTGCTTTTCTCTGAAATGTGTCTGAAGTGATGTGAGAGGAGAAGATACCGAGTGACAGGCAGAGCGCAAAATGAATTGCGTATAATGAAAGTGAGGCAGACAAAGGGAGCAGAACACGGAGAAATGAAAGAGAAACATCTCGGTTGTGTTCAGTCAACCAAACAAACAGATGGACGGGCGGAACACAAGCAGGAATTAGTCGTCAGAGATTTGTCTTAGGCTTCACGATCGGAGGACTATTTGTACACTTGAAGCCGTAAAACACGGGTCACCGGGTTGTTCCACATTAACGAGTCACACCGGGGCACAAAGAACACGGGATGCTACATGCAGACTCTGTCGCTTACATGGAATAAGTTAACATGCACGGCAGTGAGAATGCTCTCCCCAACATAACACGTTGTGATTATGAACGGTGTGTGTGTCACCTTCTCCCACCTCTGCTGTAAACAACATAAAACTGCGAGCATATCAGTTCTGCAGAGATAAATGTACAGGCGCACGGCGATCAGCATCAGCGTGTCACGTCATGACAGATATTTCAGTGAGTGTCACCAGTCAAGGCTGGCAGGCTGGAAGGCAGCCGGGTGATGGAAATGTTTGTATGTTCGGAACTGTGATGATTGTTTAAAATGGGTCAACAAGAAAACACGAGATGGAATACCAAACTATTTTGATGTTTCTGCTGTAAAAAAAACCAAAAATAAAATTGCTTCCTCGTGGTTGTATGAATGAGCCTGTCATGTTGCAGTTTCTGTTTCTCCAACATGTCATCACTTCATCGCTTTATCAAATTGTACATGTCAAATTGTCATAATTACCACCAAATTCTAATCAGTCCAACCAGTGTAAGAGGACATTTGTGTCAAATTTGAAGAACTTCCCTCTAATTACTGCCAGTGAGTGGACCTCTGAGCTTAGATTGTGACATGAACTGTTAAAGGAATAGTTCAACATTTTGGGAAGTGCGTTTAGTAATTCTTTTTTTTTTTTTTTGCTACAAGTTAAATGAGAAGATTTATGCTTTTTTCCTGTTTGTTTGCTAAATATAAAGCAAGAGCCAGTGGCCACGTAGCTTAGCTTAGCATAAAGCCTGTAGAAAGGGCGAACAGCTGGCCAATGCTTTGTTTTTTTTTTGTTTAACCAAACAAGATATTGATATCAAGTACAAGTGTTATTAAGTGAGCTGGACGTTGTTACATGTGGCCAGACTACCCGTTTGCCCTGTTTCTGTCTTTATGTTATTAAGCTTTAGGCTATTTCAACTTGTTAAACTTAAGCCGTTAAATGGATGGGTCACATAAAGCACGGCCCTTCACCCAGGAGACCGTTGTTCCTGTTTCTTTAAGGGGAACTAAAAACTTCAAAATTCATACATCTTATTCCTCTGGTCAGTCCAAAGATATTAGTAACCATGAAGTACTCTCTCTCAAATGATAAAAATAGAGTGCTTAAACTCAAATGTGTGATGTCATCAAGTATGAAATGTGGCACTGCTGCATAGACGGTGAATTAGGTAAGATTTCAACCAGGGGAATGTATGAGTATGTGGGGTACATTTCACAACTGAGAACACAGTAGAATAAAGATCATTTGGGTATAAAGGTCAGTCTCCCATTCATCGTCTGTGGAGCAACTCCAGACTCATACCTGATGGCGTCACCAGATTGAGACTTACTTCTCTGGTTTCCGGCTTTGAGAGAGAGCAACTCATGTTCACAAACATGTATTAAGGCCATATTGGAATTCTTAATTTAGGTGGTGTTCCCCTTTAAGGTTGGAATAATGCTTTGGACATCTTCAAAAAGAAAACTTCCCTGGCAGTCCAACAGCCTGAAGCATCCGTACTCCAGGTGATGAATATGTATGTTGTAATAGAGCTGAAGCACAAACAGGCGACAGTCGTTAACTCTCGCTGCTCCTCGCTCTGATGCACAGCTTCAGCTCACACAGCGGTCAATTGACTTTTTAAGAAACCATCAAAGGAAACGGCACCACCGGGGCGCACGGGGGAGAGCAGAGAAATGTGCTGAGCTTAACACGCACGCTCATCGCACACATCCATCATTCACACGTGGGCAGGCTGGTCAATGAGATTAATACCAAAGTTATGATCTACTGTCTGTCGCTTTCTGATGGTACACAATAGCTCCTGCTGTTTTCAAGCATCTCGTGTGCTCAAAATACAAAGTGTGTCTTCACATACCGCTCGGTAATATATACAGTATACTGTATATAAAACATGCTGAAATGTTCTTTTCAAAGAGGCAGCACGGGTGTTTTCACAGACGGGGTGTGATGCTGCAAAGCATCTGCTCCGTGTCGTCATTGTCGACCGCAAAGAGTAGACACGCCGACGGCAGTGTGCGGTGAATCCATCCGCTGGATGGGGACATGCAGAGACACGCGGACAAGAAGGACTCGTTTGTGCTATTTGCTTTTTTTCTGGTTGCTTCCATCAGCTGTGCAAATGTAGAGTAGCAGGGGGAACAAACAAACGTAGGTAAAGAAAATAAGAAGTCATTTTGGCATAAAAATGATTATGTGATTTCAGTGAAACTAGAGAATAACTTTGGGTGAGACGAAATGATTTGCTGTATTTTCTTGTCGCATTAAACAGGAAGAGAGTGCATGACTTAATGTCCCTATTGTCTGCAGGATGTGTCTGTACACTGCTGAGCTGTGGCCGTCACATTGTTGTGTCTTGTGATTCTTTTCTGCAGCTCTGATCGTCCTTCACACAGTCACTGCTGGTGTGTGACGTGTTACACGGTGTATAACACACACGCCTCCTTTTTTAAATTTGAGAATTGGTTATATTTTAAGGGCATGTTTTAAGATAAAGCTGGACCCTGACCACTGAGCCTATATCGTCCCCGATGAGCCAGATCACAGTGAAACCTGCAGGCCAATGAAGTCTGCACCGATGACTGAAGGTGCTTTGGCATTTTGATATAACCTAGCTCAACTAGATTAGACAAATGGAACTTTTTGAAAAAAATCTGTTTCTTTGACTGAAAATAATTCTACCTGAATTCATCTTCCAAGAAAAATAATAAATCAGTCACAGTCGGGGGGCTGTGCTGCTCGGCATCTGACCCCGACGCACGGAGGAACTCTTTAGAGTGTGTTTGCAACCAACTCCAATGTAAACACACTCAGAGCAAGTGACCTACTTTAAAGTCCATTTAAGGTGTACAGGAGGAGAGGTGGATGGGTCAAACAAACACAGGACTTTCATCAAGGAGACCGCTGTTCATGTCCCGTGTGACACTAAAATTACATGCTGAAATTTTGTCACAAGTTGTAAGTCACGTTAACGTCAACCGCACTCTTTTCCTGTAGCTAACTAAGTGGTTTTGTTGCCTAAACTTCATGTGAAGACGGATGTTTATTTTGAACAGGCACTATGCATGCAACGTGCGTATTTTGACCTACCGTCACCGACACGTCCAGTGGTACGTAGAGTGTTACAGTTTGAAGCTTAGTGCCACTGACAGTGAGAACGCGTTGCAACGTTTTGTATTCTTGTCACTTTTGAGTGAAATTTATTTTACCGTAACAAGGCTTATTATTTTGTAAGTACTGTAGTTGAAATCTCATGCAGTTCACATGTTATAAGCTTCTCACCAAGCCTCATAGAGAGGAATGTGGGGGATATTTGCAGTAGATGGTACGACATGGTCGACTCTGATCCTCTTACTGATCTCGTCTCTGCATACTAACATTTACAAGGTAAAAAAAAAAATATATATATATATATACTGTATATCTTTGCTTAGTTTGAACATGTGAAACAATTTAAAATAATGCAGTTTGAACCAGCTCTATATTTTTTCACATCAATTAAAGTTTCATTAAAGTATATTTCCACCTGAGAAGAGCCTTATAGAAGTCCCTCCAGCTCTGATCATATGATCACAGAGCAGAGAGACTTAAGAGTGGC